CTCTCTCTCTCTCTCTCTCTTTCTCTCTCTGTCCCTCTCTCTCCCTCTTTCTGCGGAGAGAGAGATAACGTCACACAACGAGAAGGCCTCGTCGACCTTTGGCACACTTGACCCGGAAACGAGCTCTCGCTGGGACCGTCCCCTCTCTTCTCTCCGCCGAGAGCCGGTGACGTCACGGCGTAGTGATTCGTTCGCCGCCTCTGTGTGTGCGTGTGCGCGGGCGGTGGGCGATGGGCGATGGGGCGGGGCGGGGACTTTTGGAGGCACACTGCACACACAATATAAGAAGAAGACACACACACACACACACACACGAGAACACGAGAGCTAGCCAGGCCTATAAATTCGGTTTCTCCAAGGCTTGTTGTTAGTTCCCGTCAACATGTCGTGGTGAAAAGAACCTGTTACGCTGGCTTTTCCTATACACATCGAAATGGAGGATTATTTGTTGAGAATTTCATGGGGTATGTTGAGACTTTTTTTCTAACTGTTTTTAGATTTTGTGCTCGATCTAGAGTCTACATTTTCTTTACTTTTCTAGATCTAATTAATCTAGATCTAAAACATGTTTCAAATTTCTTCAACAACTCTTTAGAATCACCTTTCCAGGTCGTGGAACTTGTATGTCGTTTGTTTGTGGATTGGTTATTTGTTGAATACGTTTATTCCTTTCAAAGACTTATTATCAAAAGCTGTCCCAGTATGTATTTAAAATTGTTTCCGAATTTTCTCGATCTCTATTTCTTCATGTTCGTCTTATTTTTAAAATGGAATGTGTTTTGATAATATTATCCAGAATTCTGTCACTCTCTCTCTCATGTTTTGTTTTCTCTTTAGTTATGAGAAAGAACAGTGGTAATAAAATACGTTTTTAAACTCTAATAAACAATTACTTTGCTATTTTAAAATTTAGATGGCGGAGTTATAAAGTGACTCAAAATTCACTCTTTGACAAGCATTTCTTTAAATGTTTATCATTTTCATTTTTGTGTATGGACGACTTGGATGGGGTGGGCTTGGGATAAGGGGGCCCTATCCGTTTTCTTCTTTGTCAACAGGTTTCTCATAAACACCTATGCATTACATTAGGATACCTTCAAATCTTATCATGTTGACTCAAACAAATACACCCTCTTTTCATATCTCTGCAGTCATAAAAATAGAACTTTAAATAAAAGACAAAGAAAAAAAACACCCCAACTAGAATCTAGCCCTTAGATCTCGATCTCTTAAAGTTTTGAAATAATAAAACTCTCAGCCTGGCGCCCTCTCCTTTCCCTCGGTCAGACGTAATAAAATCCCAGCAGAGGTAAGTCATCGTGAACCTGTATCCGGTTTCAGCCTGTCTCGGTATTTCCTGTTCCCGACCGGCCACTCCCGCACTCCCTCGTTTCTTTCTACTAAGGGGCCTTATAGATCTACTTCTTTTTCTTTTTTTTCTCTCCCATTGGGCCGTTTCATTCAGTTAGGTCTTTTCCGCGTCGGTGTGTTTCTCATCGCTGATTTTCATCTTCGCATGAAACATTTTAGGAGTGAGGGGAAAGGATGGATGGGATGGGCATGCACTTGCCCACCATATGCTAAAATAAAACCCAAACTTAAAACAAAAAAAACAACAACAACCCCCCCCCCCCCAGAAAAACAGAAAATAGACATATAAAAACAAAACAGAAAAAGTCAACCTCACCCCCAAAAAATAAAAACCAATAATAAATAAACCAACTTAAACGGCTGCTGTCTGAAAAGAAACGTTACAAAGGTTTCCTACAGCCCTCTATTAGGAACTGACTTGCCCTACTACATAACACATGTCCGGGGTCTGCCTTTTCTCTTTTTGGAAACATTAGGGCAGGTGCGACACCACGCACGAATAACTCATTGAAGAATGGGGAAAGGTTGGGGGTAGCTTAAATAGACCTTAGTCTGAAATTTCACGATGTGAAAAATCAGGGGAGATGGCTCTATAGTCTATAGTAAAGATCTAACTTAGATTCTAGTTTAATAATGGTAAATCTACAGTGTGTTAATAGTAGGCCGAGATTCTACTACTTTACTTTAGAGTGTCTCACAAGCGACAACCTCCCATGACAGGTCCCTTTTCTAAGAACCTGTGTTTGTTGTCCCCTTCGTTCACCTTTCTGATTACCTGTTAGACAGGCGGTCTGCGCGAACCCCCGTCTCTTCCCTCGCCTTCCCCTCCCACCCCAACTGCCTACACCTGCAGGCCCGAGTTCCGGTATTTGGGCCTTTCTCTCATTCCGTTCCATCATTCTTTATTAACTCTTACAACAAAATACGTGCTCGTCTTGCTGTTTCATTTACTCCCCCCCCCCCCCCCGTTCTTTAGAGACACTAAAGCAAAGAGCTTTTTGTAGGGCGAAACCTTTGGATGACGTATGTCTGATTGTGTGCACATGTGCTGATTTTTACACAAACGTTCTTAGAACTTCTTTTGGGAACAAAACAAACGTGTTCACTGTCTGTTTGTCCATATTATCATCTGTCTTTGTTTTTGCCTAATTTTAACGTTCTGTTTGCCTTTTCTCTTTTCAGATGGTGTAGACAGGTACTAAGCCAACGACCATAAGAAAGCGATTGTGCAACTGCCAACAAAGTGCTGTGAACGACTGTTATTGTCACACCCTCGAACTTACACGAACCTGTGCAGCTGCAGTGAATTATATATACATTTTTTTTTGCGAATTATCTGGTCTCACGTCTCTGCGTGCAAAGGAAAAACGTGAGGTTGAAATCTTTGTCCTACTTTCCTGGCCAGCAACACACCGAAGGGAGATAAGTGCGTACGGGAGAGGTCAGGTCTCTATTTACCCTGCCGGTTTATTTCCACTTGATCTCCTCCTCCACCACCCTTGGACCCCCCTCTCGACCAGTGTGTTGTTGTTGTTATCACGGATGGACTGACCCCCCAAGGTCACCTTGTGTACCAACCGCCAGCCCCGGATATCTGTGTCCCCGCCACAGCACGACTGACTGACTGTCCTGGCACGGTGTCCGTAGCTCCAGCTCGTTGAGAGACTGCTGATAAGAAAGAAGTGACAGAACGAACTCGAAACGAGATACCGAGAACGTTTGCATAAGTGAGAGACGAGATTTGGGGAAAGAGAGGCCACAGAACTGGTTTACGGTCAACAACAACAGGATATTTCTGCACCACGATCCTTTGGTGTGAAGACAGCCCAGCCACCTTATTTCAACGACAGATTTTGACAGATTTTACTGACGCAACGGAAACTTTTGAGTGCTGAGCGACCAGTTTTTTAAGCAAACTTTATTACAACTTACATTTCAATATTGCTTTAGGACTTTGTTTCTAAGAAAAGAAATTCCCACATATTACTGTTGACCAGTATTTGTTTGTTTGAGAGCAGCTGTTCTGCTTATGCCATAATAACCAAAAAACACAAGAGTACCCTGTGATTGTTCAACACTTATTCACCTTGATATAATATTTTGCCATTTTTGCGTTTGCTTACAGAGTATAATCAGAACGCAGTTTATTTATACATTGTTTATCGTGCACTTGTTTGTGCCTTTATAATTAATTGTGCTGTGAGCTATCATTTTGTCGCATAATTTCCATTCATCTTTTTATCTGTATTTTGTGACTGTCAAAGCCAAAGCCTTTCCATCTACCCTAAGTTGTTCCAGATTATCATCAAAATGTCCAACTTTGTTGCTGAGTTCCCTGTCAAACATCACACCTACCAAACTTACACATGCCCCCCTGACACAGCCGGGGACTTTGTGGCCGAGTTTAGGAACACCCCCAGAATGCCTTACTGTAACAGCCCCAGTCAGTTCGGACAGTTGTCCCCTGCATACGTGGACTCGAGTCCAAAGTCTAACTTGTCAGGAGAAGATGATAGAGAATTGTACGACTTACTTTCAGATAAACAGTTCTCCAAAGAGCGCATCACTGAGTTATTACAGGGTTCTATCCTTTCCCTCATTGAAAAACTTTTAACTGGCCGTCAGATAGCTCAAGTCAAAGGTCACATCCAGGTGTCTTTGTGTAACGACAGAGTCCCCATCTCTGTATGTCTGGACGAGGTTTACAATAACATTTCAGGGCGGGAGACTGAGCTTGAAAAGGGTTTAAATGTTAGGTTAAGGGACGGTGTGTCTCCTCATGGCCCCTGTGTCCGGCTACAGAGCCCTGATAGCGTCATATCAGAGGGGGACCACGTGGAACAAGTTCAGAAATCGCACGAGGAGATCAATGAAGAAGGGAAGCAAATGAGAAACTACCCCTTTGGAGATCACGTGGCACAGAATTGCTCAGCTGGTCACTTGAGTCAGGACTCGGATGATGTCAAGACACGACGGGACAGCGATGAGGAGAGTGGCTACAATAGTAACTCAGAACTAGGTCACAGAAGCCCACAACAGACTAAGAAAGAAGTCCCAGAGAACGAGGAACAAGGATATTTTGGCCAGCTGTACCCCGTAGAATGTTGCATGGACGAGAGTCCAGCCTTGATGGAGCAAGAGATCCGCGCGAAGAGAGAATCGAGCCCTGAGAAAACCGAGTGCATCAAGTCGCCAGAGGGCGTGACGGTCGATGATGCTGACGACGTAGTTGCTTCCTCTCTTGTGATTGACCTTTCTGTCGACAACTCAGAAGAATCCGCAGCCAAGCTGTCTGACTCAAACAGTCGCTTCTCAGAAATGACGAGCGACGCCGATGTCAAGCTAGCGCGTGTTCACGCTGACGATGTCAAGGAGAGCTCAACCATGGGCGAATCCGCAGAGGAGACAACCCAAGGGACTCAGAGGAGAACAGAGCAGATGACGTCAGATGTATGTCCAGAGAATGTCGTACCCATGATCTGCATGCCCGAGGAAATAGAGGAAGTGGAGACAGAGCCCAGCAGTAGCTCAGACGGCACAGACTTTGAGACAGATGTTCCAGTTGACCTGTCCGGAGACAACGAGAGCTCCAACACCACCTTCGTGACGCCACATCCCCAGAGCATGATCGTCAAACTGCCCAATGGACTCATGTGCAAAATGTGTCGTGAAAGTTTGCCCAACTCAGACGCTGTGGCCACCCACGCTTACGAGAAGCACAACCTGTTTAGCTGTTCGTTTTGCTTCAGGGCGTTCACGGCCAAGAATAACCTAAAACGTCACATTCGCCTTCACACCGGACTCCGACCCTACAAATGTCCCCACTGCCCGCATTCTTTCGCCAGGCGAGACGACCTCAAGGGCCACATGCTGAGACACGACTACAGCAAACCATTCCGATGTGCCGTGTGCAAAAAAGGCTACACAGACAGGGCGTGTGTGAAGAATCACATGGCTAAAGAGCACGGCTCTCGTCTGATGCACGTGTGCCCTCAGTGTGGCGAGAGCTTTGACAATGATGACGCTTTCTCCGCCCACAAAAAATCCCACCCCGAGCTCAAGCAGTTTTCCTGCAAAGTATGCTACTTCATCGGCAACAACAACCTGATGACGATGAAGCACAGCCTGATCCACGAGCATAGTTTATTCTCTTGCAAGCCTTGCAACGCCTACTTCGCCGACCCTTTCGACTACACCCAGCACGTGCGCAAACACAAGTCCAACAGCAAGTTCACCTCCTACGTGTGCTGCTTCTGCAAGATGACGCTGTCGTCCTATGAACAGTTTGTGCGCCACGAGTACTCACACGCACAAGGAAAGACGTATTCGTGCAAGACTTGTAAGAAGCAGTTCAAGAGCAAGGCTTCACTCCAGGAGCACTCACTGGCACACGCGGACCAAACGCCTGAACGTAGCAGTGCCAATGACGCGCCCGTTTCTGATTGCAAGCCGTCCTCCAGTGGTGTTGAGCACAAGGAGAAAATGACCACGGACTCCCCAGTTTTGCCGGCTTTCGCCAGAGACTCGTCACCTGCTATCGAAATGTCTTCTCAAAACAGGCAGGAGACCGTGCTAGATTTGAGCTCCGCTAAGACTGATGCTTACAGCTACAAGCCAGAAGACAGAGCAGAAGAAATCTTAGACTTGAGGGTCAAGAAACCTCTCAGAGCTCAGTTGGAGATTCCAGGAAATGGACCAGATGCCAGAAACCCTGCTGGCCGATTTTGCCCCAGCCCCAGACCCGTTGAACTCCACCGTTGTTGTGTACCCAGAAATGGCTGCACTTCCGAGTTTATGGGCAATGGAGATGAGACGAAATCCACAGGCAGCGAGTCTCTAGCTTGTGAGTCCAGAGAGTACATGAGGACTTCAGGTCACAGCAATGTCCTTGACTTGCCGGAAAAATCTCCCAGTCCTGAAATGGTTTGGTCTCGTGATGCGAGGGACTTTGGTCCGGCGACGATTCTGGTGGATGAGATTGACATGGAGATCAGAGAAAACGCTTCACCAGACATCCCTCAAAGAGCGTACCTGGCCAGTAGACAGGAACTGAAGCAGAAGATGGTGGCCCGCTCTATGTCCGGCGGGTACTGGAACAAGTCCCCCTACAGGTTCAGCCCCTACTCCAGGAGCAAAATCATGGACTTGGCCTCCAAGTTTGTGGCCGCCAGAGGACCGCTGGTCACTGTCACTAAACCAGCCGGGGTGAAGAATGTCTCTCCTTCAACACAAGACGTGAGCTCTGGGCAGAGGGGGAGATCTATGGTCCCTTGGCAGATGCAGGAACGAAAAACCAGCAACGAGGGGAGTGTGGGGGAGAAGAAAACGCAGAGTCTGTTGTGTAATGCTCTGACCGCTGCCCCGGACCATTTTCTGGGCGTGGCACCAGTGCAGAAGCGCACAGAGAGCCCGTTCACCAGCCAACTTCCGACATTCATCAAGAGCGAGCCTATCGGAGAGAGAGACTCACCACTTTACCAACAAATACCCCACCCCTCAGCAGCGCCAATTCTAAAAACAGACCCGAACGCCAGTGATGTTTTGGAAGCTAGACCAATGAACGCCACAACAACAAGCCACAGGTCGAAAGTTCACGAATGCGACCTATGTAAAGATGTCTTCCCGTCCTTCCAAGAGCTGGAGAACCACAGTGTGGCCGTCCACAAACGCTACCTCTGTGAACACTGCGGCAAGAACTTCACCGCCAGACCAAATCGTGACCGGCACGTCCGCTACCACACGGGGGAGCGACCTTACAAGTGTGACCTCTGCGACCAGGCGTTCTTCAGAGGGGATGACCTCAAGTACCACCGTACCACACGCCACCCGTCCGCCCAGCCCTTTGTCTGCCCCAGGTGTCCAGCCACATTCACCTGGAGCAGGGACCTGGAGAGACACATCCGTCAGTCCAAGTGCAAGCTCTAGAACTTTCCACGAATCATATTGAAAAGGCGGGGGGGGGGGGGGGATGAAAATTGAAGGGTCGTTTTACTACCATCTAGACTTTGATACTTAAAGAAAGGAATGAGAAGATACGTGTGCTAAGTAGCAGTCTAAAAATGGGGCTTGCAATACAACATTTCGTTTTGAGATCTGCCTTAATTTCATTTACGATTAGATATTTGGAAATGAATCTATGGTATTTTAAAAATGTATTTTTACTCTTATCTGGTAAAACTCGAAGACAGCAATGAGTTCTGTGTTGTTAAAGCAAGAACAGGTAGTAGAACATTCTGACTGTTACTTTAATTTTGTCTGCCACGTCAGCCTTCCAATATTATATCTAACATTCCAGTTTCTACCTGAATCAGTGTATTATTATGTTATTGTTCTAAGTGCTTTCCTCATAATAATTGCATATATGATAATGTCATATTGCCCCTTAACTCAACTTTAAACAAGCTGGCGTCCACCTGCCTGCTGTTTACTTGCATTGCAATTAATTATATTTGATATGAAATACAGACCAGGCAGAATAAAACAAACAAACAGACAGGCTAAAACATCGCCCGCAACACCCCCCCCCCCCAATTTCTTCCCTCCTCACACACTCACAAACACATGCACAACCTCCTGAAATGTGTTTTCCATTATAAAGATTATAATAATCTTGTGAGCTACACTCATTATTATATTATATTGCATTGCTTTAAAGAAATTATTTTTTGCGGGCATTTCAAGTTGCTTAAATCGTTACTATTGTTCGTACTGTGAGTTGTTTGCAGTAACGATGAAGACTTCTATGTTGTGCAGAATACAGTGTTCTTTTTCCGCCAGTGTACATGATGTACTATATTACTTTTTTAAAATGAAAGGAAACTGAACTGTTTTACTTTTTTTTTTCAACTTTCCATTAAAATTAAATTTTGTTTCTTAGAGTAGGCGTTCTTATTTTATTCCTTGTTCGTTATAATTTTGCATGGACCAGAAGAGAAGACAAAAACACAGAACGGGCTATTTTGTGAATTTAATTTACACGAAACAAAATGTTCTCTTCATTGAATTTTACATTCCTCGAATAAAACGGGAAGGAGACAAGTTTTCACCCATTGTGGGTTATAAATTTCTGAAAGGTTCATTATAATAAATAAAATACAATTTTGTCTAGTGCCCCCTAAGGTGGGGGTCACGAACGAAATTACGTGTATTTCATCTTTGTTGAAGAAAATCGGAAATGCATATAAAGCCAAAGACGATGATTTTTTTTCCTGTTAAAGTCTGGTAAAATCAAGTCTGTTGAATTTATTCACGTTGTGTCTTACATAATTTTTGAAAATAATAATCATAATATCGACGATAATTGTCTGCATTTTACGAACTGTTTAATTTCAGAGAGATGTGATTTTTGTGACTGTCTTCATGCATTTGAATATATATAATATTAATATAAGATCCTTTTGTTGTACCGTATCTGTTTTGATTCGTGCCTTTAGTGGGCTCTATTCCACCTTGACAAAAAAGAAATATTCTGTGATTCGGCTTCGATGCTCTTGTTTTTTTTGTTCTTCAAAAATGATGAATAAACATGATGTGTTGTTGGTTAACTTAAGAGTCATCTTCATTGGTTTACTGTTTGTGTGTGTGTGTGTGTGTGTGTGTGTGTGTGTTTGTGTGTGTGTGTGTGTGTTTGTATGTGTGTGTGTGTGTGTGTGTGTGTGTGTGTGTGTGTGTGTGTGTGTGTGTGCTTTAATTAAAAAAAAAACTACCAGCATCTGTGGTGTAGAGGTTATAAGGCTCTTCGCTGTCGCATGCAGGAGACCCGGATTCAGTTCTCGAGTAGGGAGATAATTTTTATCAAGTACCGCACCGGTATCTTGGTCTTCCTAGTAATCCTACTGGCATGTTGTATCCCTATCAAATCGGGTAGGCCCTGGACAAGCGGATCGAAAGACTGCCTCCTTCACTACATGATCAAAACTGTGTCGGTGTGGGCGTAAAATCACCTACAAAAAGAGTATGAAACTATAATTATATCATGTAGAAAGGTTCTACGCCCCTTTCAACACCACCGACTGAAAGGTTATTATTTATTTATAAGGCAATACCACCGAATTTAACGGCCATCTACAATAGGACCTTCCCAATGGGAAAATTTGTGTAAAACGCCTTTGTCAAGGACACAATATCGGACCGAGTCTAGCTGAGCCTCGAGTTCCCGAACCCGCTATCTGACCTACATACATACATGTACATGTATCTCACGATTATGAGCCGGTAGCCTAACCACAAGACTATCGACGCCACTGCTTTGTATGTCGTGTTGCTAGAACTTATATATATGGCTACGTGTTTGTGGCTGTGGGGGTAGGATTTTTACGTTTTGAGACGTAAAGAGAAAGAATACATAATAATGTACTTAAGGGAGCATAATTTGGTTTCAGTAAAAAGTAACATCATCAAGAAGTACAAAATGGACTGAACCCCAAATCTGGTCACAGAAGACCAGTCTAGTCCTGTGTTTTTTTTAGGCATTATACTAACATGTACATACTAACTGTAATAATAATAAGAAGGATGCGAGCGTGATGCACCGAAACAGCAAAACAAACAAACAAACAAAGCAAAACAAAACACCCCCCCCCCAAAAAAAAAACCCCCAACAAAAACAACAACAACAACAACAACAACAACAAAAAAGCAACAACACAAGGGCGGTTCCACATGTTCGCAAGGATGGGTCGTCCTGGAACTAGTTTCCCCCGGAAAACTTTCGGGAGCGGAGGGGAGGCACTGGTTGAACTGAAAAAGGGTGGGCCATCTATTTACTCACACATACATTTATTATTTTATAAACACATGTACATGTATGCATTTTATTCAGTGGTGTCTCGTTGTGCTTGGAATGCGGATGGCCCTGGTTCCAGTTACAAAATGCGCAGTTTTGAAAAGTTACCATCTTTTGGCAGTTTTGCGAGACTCTCGCCTCCGTCAACTTGGCGCTTTCCTTCTGTTAGAGTTAGAGATGGACGTTTGATTCTGAGCCCCTGACTCATAAATAATTAACCTTTAAAGGGTAAAAAAGAACATGAACCCTGTAGAGTACAGAATGCTAAGAAAAAGAGAAAAATAGGAAGAAAAAAGAGGGTAGTACTAGTAGTGTATACGTAGTTTTCGTGTCATGAGATGTTTTTAAATTTTGTTATTATTGTTCTGGAAAATGTTTTACGGCACTTGCAGCTGCATATGGTCAAATGAGCATGCGCTGTATAGTCTGTAGAACTGTTTATGGTATTTATTTGTCTTCTTGTCTTCCTTTCAATGCCAGACTTGGCAAATTAATGTATTGAAGAGCTTATCGAGGCTACATGTTTTTAGTTTAATATTATATATAGGGTCATCGTGAATGTCTCTGTTCACGTCTCTGACTCCCTGGTGTTCCGGTTCAGGCTTATTACACGTCACGAGTACTATTTCAACAACGGGCTCTCTTTGGTAAAAAAAAGAATTTGCTCATTTTCACACACTTGATGGGAAGGACGGGGTGTGTGGTCTCCCGGTCTCTGTATTTTATTTGGTTTGGGGAGGGGGCTGGGGGTGGGATGGTTGAAAGTGACAATGTGATGCAATGGAAAAAGATTTGTGCTGTCAACGGTCATGCAAATACTGGCCTCTGTCTGTAGGGTAACAGTTTAAAGATAAATATCGACTGTGTTATATCTCAAAGCTATAGGAAGGGGCAGGGCTCGGCTTAAACTTAAAAGCAATGCAAACATACCGTTTTTAAAAGCAGCATGTCCCCTTGTATATTTAAATAGAAGTGCACAATCATTAGAACTTGTTTTTACGTTTTGAAATGTTCAGGAAGTCAAACGCAGTTTTAAAAGCGAGTTTAATCAATGTTGTACAGATCTTTGTAAAAACGGGAAGGTGTATTTGATTCTACTTCATTCTGTTTCATGTTTTTTCCTTGCTTGTAAATTCGGAGTGTTTCTTAGAGGGGGGCCCGAGCGTTATCACTCACCGCGGCTCGGGTGGAAAGGCCTGAGCAAACATTGTAAATCTAGACCCTGGAACAGTCGTACTCCAGGCAGACGTAATAACGGCCGACCACATGAGTGGGGTGGAGGGTAGGGAAGGAGGGGAGGGGTGGGGTATGTGGGAGAGGAAGGGAGAGGAAAGGTGGGGAAGGAGGAGAGAGGACGAGTGTGGGAGAGGGGTGGGG